TTAGTCGGCCGCGTAGGGCGTATATTTGCTCGCCTAGAGCGCTTTATCGGCTGCCTAGGTGTCTAGATTATAGCTTTTTATTTTATTTTAGTGTCCTAGGAGCTATATGCACTTTAACTTTAACAATACATATGAAGAAATCTTCTAGTGAGTAAGTGAGTTGGTATAATATATTATTAAATGTGACAACTTTATCATTCATGCATGTTGATGTGTATGTGTGTGTATATGTTTTTTCTATACACACAAACACAACATTACTAATCATATTTATGCAAAAATATTGATAAAAATACAATTTTTTTTGTCTCCGACTAGTCCCCGCCTAGGCGCCCGCCTAGGCACTAGGCGCTGGGCTGGCGCCCGACTAGCGCCTAACGCCTTTTAGAACATTGCTTATACTTAAATGCACTGCATATTGTAATGGCTATCTGGTAAGTTCAATCACATACCGGTTTTAAAGAAAATCACGTAATGTACACCTTATCAGATACGGTTGAAAGTTTCATTCTTCTTTGTTTCTAAAAACACTTTTCTTGTTGTAGACGTGAGAACACTTCTGCTGTTTTTTAATGGCGATCTAATGATTTTTGAGACCTTCTCAGGAGAGAAGAAAGACAAGAAAGAGGAGTTGCTGCACGCCTGCACATCGCTCACAAGTCAGAATAGGCCTCAGACTGCGATATGTAGATGACTTTTTACCGAAATGCATCTCCTTCACTCGCGAGAGAGACTTATATGCCCCGGGAATACAGATTCATTGGAGTAAACTAATAGAATTCAAAGAATTAGTGATTTTCCCCCTCCGCTTGTGACTAGGGAAGCTTCTCGGCAGGCAGAGATGTGACTCTCCGTTTGAAGACCAACCAGCTCAAGAATTAAGTTTAAACTAAGGTTACCCTCTAGCTCTTATTTGCAAGCCTTTGTTTATACTTTTGAATAAAGATTGATCTAATATTCAATTCTCTAAACTAAGGTTTTCTTTCATTGAAAACTGAGCATTATCTACTCATTTCATTCATCTGATATGGTATTCCATTCCATCTCATTTTTTTTTCCTTTTATTCAGTTTTCTTTTCTACTGGAATTGATTTTATTATTTTTTCTATCCCATTCTGGCCAGAAGGATTCAATATATCTTGCAGAGTGCCAAGAAAAACTTAAGTTCTGAGTTCTCTACGCTTGTGGAAGGTACTGCATTGCCAGTCGCCAAATGACTCCATTGATCATTCTCTTATTCCAGAGGCTGTGGAAGAATTTCAATATACTGAATCCGAGGTAGTTTCATAATTCAATTTTCCCTTTTTAGTTCAAATGTATACTTCTGTGATGTCTAGATTCCAACCTTAGGATTACTAAATTTAAAATTTTGATTTATTGAAATTATAGAATGCAGGCAACCTTAGGATGACTAAATCTAAAATTTTGATTTAATGAAACCGGCAACCTTTCAAATTTATAAAGATATATCCCTTTTCTTGGCTATAAATTAAATTGATCGAACATTGATCACTTGATTTTATTTTACTGAAACCTGAATATTAATTTTGAAATTAAATTCAAATACAACTGTAATGAGCTCTCCTTAGTTTAATTGTATCCACTCTCATTAAAAGCAATTCCTTATTACATTATTTGAGATTATGTAGCCATGTAGGGATCTTTCAAAGGAATCATCACGAAGAATTCATTCACACCAATTCCATTTAAATTTCTAGGTCCGGAATGCAGCTTTTTCACTGACAAAGCAGAAGATGGAGTATGCTCTGAAAATGAAAGGTAATACCCTAAATTTCTTTAGCTAATTTCCCTAAATGGAAATAATGTGGCTATAGAGGATTTAAAGCAACAGCCCTGAATTTCTTTAGCTATCTCTCCTAAATGAATTCATTTTTGTTGATTCCATAATACTTCCAACTTTGAATGCATTAAGGACTCAGGTGCAACCTCTGTTGCTTCAAGCGGTGTAAAAGTACAGATTTTATTATTCCCCAAATGATGTAGCTGAACAAGTTTTTCATATTCCCTAGCATAACTGTGAAATTTATTACATAAGTAAGTTAGATATTCTTTACAGTTAGCAATTTAGAATATAATAACCAAATCATACATAGGACGATCAATTCTATAAAGATTTCTGCATTTGATGAACTTGATAGAAATGTTCTACTAGAGTTTGCTTCTTATGATTCACGTGCTAGGAAGCTTATTACATGGAATTTTTCCACCTAAAATGCAGTTATTGGGCTGACATTAAATTTAACAAATATGGAAAAGAGGTAGCTACCCATCTTCCAGAATCAATTGAATGCTACTATGACAATAAGATGGTGCTTATAATGATGTCATTTTCTACTTTTTTTCTATTTATGTCATATGTAAAGGGATGCCTAAGGGGATATTTGAGTTCATATATGAGCCATGCTTTAAATTTATTTTCATTTATATGTTCAGGTTTTCCTTTTGGGATTAAGGCTTGGATGTTGTTGTTCAGGTTTTTCTTGAGGTTGTCTTCTTCTCTCTTGAGGAGCAAAGAGTTCTTCTTGAGGTAATGTCCTCCCTTTTCGTCTGCCTATCTTCTTTAGCCGCACGCCTGCACCACGCCTTCTTCCAATCGCTCTCTGCTTCTGTTGATTAGCCGCAACAACCTGTCATCCTACTATCTGCCTTCACCATTTCATTTTTCTTTTCATTTTCATTTACCCCAGTGCCGCAAAGGCTCCCACCTACGGTGGGGAAGGGGGGGTCGGATGTACGCAGTCTTACCCCTGTACTAAAGCATAGAGAGACTGTTTCCGGATGACCCATAGTGAAAATCGCGTCCAAAATTGCATGGACTGACTGCTGCTTCATAACAAAGAAGCGCAGACAGTTTAGTGAGCCATTTTGCTTTATTCCATCATATTCTCAAGCCAAAAAATAATGAATCTTTGGCTCCATTACTATCTGCCTTCACCACATCTCCTAAATCCCTAACTTCCCTATGCTCACTACTTTTTGATGAAACCACTTCTACACTTTTGCATTGACGGCTTCATCACTTGCTTGGCCTGTGAATACAATCTCTCAATAGTCAGAGCATATATATGGATGACAAGTAGTGCTAATATGATAATCAATTCTAACCCCTGAATTTCCTGTTCTGAGATGAAGACGAGATCATGGCTTCCTTGGTAAATATTTTTGCTCATTAATTTATGTCTTCATCGACTTTATTGTGGATGAATTATATTTTTGACACCTTTTTTTTGGGATGATGAGAACAAAATGTTAAGCTGGAGAAAACTCCTATGTTGGTGTTAATTCATGTCTCCATCGTTTTCATCTATAAAATATTACAATTTAATGTTTGATATTTCAATGGGCACTTTGTGGGTATTGTTGAATCTGTGGATATATCTAATTCTAGATGAGTTCATTTTGGGGGGGGGGGGGGGGGGGCTCCAAGAAATTAGTAAAAAGGTAATAGCTCAAATTCCCTAACTATATGCTACACTTTGCACAAATAATACTCCCTCTGTCCCTAAAAGAAGTTCCATTTCACTATTCAATTGGTCAACTTAAATCACTCTTAATCTCTTACTTTTTATATCAAAATTTTATAAAAGTTGAATTATTTTTTGCAGGCTTTGTAGCGGGTTTAATGTAGTTTCTGAATATGTAAATTTTATTTACTAAAAATAATCCGAGTTTTCACAGGGATCATTTAACTTTATCGTCGGTCAAGCTTCGTAATCCGCAATTGGAACAACATTTAGGGGCGGAGCGAGTATAATATTGTGTTTGGTTTGACATTGATGAGGAATCTTTTGTCACCAAGTGCAGGCCATCATATAGAGAATGAGAGAATCGAACAAGCAGGAGTGAAGGTGTTAGATGGTAGTTGGCACTGTTTTCACTTTTTATCTTGCAGTAAAAAACCATATGGTACACCTTTGTTTACATTGCACTTGCTTAATTATCGAACAGAATCACATTGATCAGAATTATGATATTACTATTTCAGTATTTCTTGTGCTTCAGCATGGGACAGGTATTAAGTTTTCTATGAGAATTTATTCAGCACTGTCTTCGTCATCTTTTCTGTCATGTTTTTATTTTAAGAGTAGTCAGTGCTAAAAGACCTACATAAAAGTATCGAGTATTGAACTATTGATACTTCCTCCGTTCTTTTTTAGTTGCAACATTCCTTTTTTCACGCTTGCCGATTCACAACTTTGACCGTCATTATATTTAATTCTCTATTAGCAAATAAAATTTAAAAATCAGATTATGAAACTTTGTAATGAGATGAATTTAACAATATTTTTCAAAAAAAAAATTCACATACATTAATAAATAAAATGTATCTAGTCAAAGCAGAGTACATGAATAGTGTGTAAATTCCAATGTTGCAACTATTATGATACGGAGGATAGTATTAAGTATACAGAAGTGATGAACTAATTTTAAAGACTACTATTCATGTCACTGTGTTGACACAAAGGCATATAAATTTAGGCTTCATCAATGGTGGTCATTAAATACCCTCTTCATGAATACTATCGTATTTCATATTTCCTCATCCTTAAATATCTATACCTTTAGTTTTAGACTTCTAAAAACTGAAATGAAATTTTAGTGACCATGGGGTTGGTGCGCAACTGCACACCCATATTTATAATTTGTTTTTCATAAAAAGAAACTTGATTCAAACAATTTAAATACCTTGAGACTATCAATAGTTTGAAACTTTGTATTTTTTATCTTGGTTGGAGTTTTCCGGTCCTATTGTCCTGTGATCTCCACAGGTCCATTGCTGGCCTGCTGTGTTGTTTGTCATCTCCACCAAAACTCACTGCCACTTTCCCCTCGATCTAATCGGCGGCCACAAATCCACACAGGAATTTGGCTGAAGAGCCCTATGCACGAGAAAACTCTCGGGTAGGCACTTCCGCTTTTCTAACTTGGGTTATATATTGTTATAAGGAATATAGTTAACTAGCATTTTTTAATGCTGAGCATTAACTACTCGTTTAAAACCACTAGAAAAATCAATGTACAATATAAGAAGATTGCTAACAAAAATCATACTTTAATACAAAAATCAATGTACAATATGTAAAAGCATTAACTACTCGTTTAAAACTAATTGCAAATGCACATATTTTTTATAACAAAACCATGTCAAGCTTAATATACATATACTATATGCACATTGTAATTATGGCTCCACTATGATTTTCCCAGTAGCATGTCCGCTCATCATCTTGGCCCAACCAATGTCAGCTTTGCTTAAAGGATGCCTCGAATCAATGGTAGTCTTAAGCTTCCCCTCTTTGACCAACCCAACAACACGTGCAAGGTCTTCGCTCTTGGGGGTCAAAAACCATGGCACCAATTGCTTCTTCGAGAACGTAAGTTTTTGAAAGGCAAATGTGCAGAAGGTGGTGGGGTTAGGAGTTAGGTGTATCACCTTCCCATTCGCACTCAAGTTAGACTGAAAGGTACTCCAGGGGATGTCGGTGGTACAATGAATGACAACGTCATATTTCACGCCTGAGGGACTCTTGAGGGATGCTCCATCCGGGGTCGTGTAGTCAAGAACCTCGTCCGCACCTAAGCTCTTCACGAATCCTATGTTGCGGGTCCCACAGGTGGCAGTGACGTGTACATTCCCGAGCTTTGCAAGTTGAACAGTGTAGTGACCAACTCCGCCTGAGGCAGCAGTTACAAGAATGTTCTTCTTGAGGGTGATGGTGCTCCCATCGAGCTTGATTCCGGACACTTCAGTGAGGGCCAGGTAAGCAGTCAGACCTGCGATTGGTAGGCCAGCAGCTTCAGCAGCAGATACCTCAGGTGGCCTTTCCACTACTGAGTTCTCCTTAGCTATTGCATACTCCGCTAATCCGCCCCCATTCTGCTCTTAAAGTCGCAAACAATATCACAATGAAAATTAAATTAAGATTCATGACTGTAGGTGGGATTTGCTAAAGGCTAGGAAGCACATACACAAGTAAGGCTACAGGAACACAACAAATTCTTAAGGGCTTGTTTGGTTCAAGGATTTTGTGGGAGGGAAGTGGATGGGTGAGGGTGGCATTTTTAGGGTATTTCTACATTAGATGGTTAGAAATATAATGAAGATAAAAAGAACTATGTAAAAATACATCTAACTACTAATATAGTTATTCTAGTCTAAAACCAACAGATAGTGATATATCAACAAAATAAAGAAGCTATCATTCCTTTCCCCTCCCTCTGAAATCTCCCAACCAAACAAACCCTGAAAGGGAAACAGACAAGAAAGCGAGCGAGCCACAACGCATTGTGATTTCATTATAAAAGGTAATGCCTCAAATTCATGGTTTAACACCTTGTGAATTCATTATAGACGATAATGTTACTCAAATAGGAGTAGCTTGATAACTTGGGTACTCTTTGGTGTTATGTCTACAATTCAAAAAATAAAAGAAAAAAAATAAAACCAGATAATGTCATTTTAAGTTGTTCGTTTCACAATATCAGATCTAACATGGTTTGTATAAGGAGTAGTTTAGGTTCATTATAAAACCCTGAAACCAAAAAACTAATTACTGGACCGAGGGCCCTTGGTTTGTGGTTTTATTGTTTCCAAAGTGAGTGACCTCAAAATGATTACCATTGGTGTTTGCTAGAGGTCAACAACCCACTATGGCCATGCTAAGCCTTTATAAACGATTCAAATTCATCAAAGAGATTGCACTTCTTCTTTATTGGTTTCTCCGTATTTCTTTTTGGAAAGTTTTTTTTTTTTTTTTTTTACATTTGATCAATTTATCTTATCTTTCTCATCTTTCTATTCCTTTTGGCTCCGATATCAGATGTATCGATTCATGTTAGCCGACCCCAAATCTTTTGGAACTAAGGCTTGGATGTTGTTATTATTGTTGTTGAATCCATTTACGTAAGTTGGCAAATTGAATCCTATCAACATACATAAACACTCGTACTTATTAATCTTCTATTTCTTATTTTTTTCATCTACCCTCTACTAAACTTCTACCCATTCAGTTTTCCTGTAGAAAATGTGAAAAACATAGTAGAGCATCTAATGAAATTTAAAGCAAGAAAATAGCCAAAAACTATTGAGAGTTTAAGGATGTGACACTTACGCGAAAGCTGAACACTGTGAGAACTTTGTTGCCCACTTTGAAATTTTTAACATCAGAACCAACCTCAATTACCTCCCCTGCTACATCAGTTGCTGCTCAACCAAACAAATACCCTTACATTAATTACTTAAAACGTCGACCACTGAAGGTAAGAGATTATGATCAAAAGAAACAAAGCAGAGAGTAACCTGGTGTGTACGGAAATCGGCCTGGAAGAACAGGGCGGGCGACGCCTTTCTGAATCCGGCCATCAAATGGGTTTAAGCTTACCGCCTCTACCTTTAGCAAGATTTCATCTCTACTGGGAGTGGGAATAGGAACTTCAACTTGCTGCAAACAACAGTGTATTAAAATCACTGCCCACTTCAAATCAATTAATTCCATGCCACAGAATTGCGTTAATTTCATTAAATACTAGTGGATTGCTCCCTTGATTTTCCTTATTCATGCACAATTTGTTTAATTCAACTTCTATGGAACAATACTTGCTTAATTTATCTATTCATCCAGGTATCTTTGAATGGACGAAAATACCTTCAAAGCTGCAGCCCCGTCTCCATAACGGTCATACTGCACCGCGCGCATAAGCTTTGCGGCCATAGTCGGATTGGAAAAGTTGGCTGCTTTGCTAACAGATCGACGCATCCAATCAATATATTGAGAAATTGACAAGCAGGGACAACGGTACCAGATAAACAGACGCCTGCAACTGATGAATTGGGTCTCTGGTTTAAATAACAGTGGCTGAAACGGAGTCCGAATCCCTCAAATTGCCTCATCATTTGACCGGAATAATCCTTCGGATGACTTCGCGGTCGTGGCCATTCCGGCGCCACAGCTTGTGCACAGCAGTTCAAAGTCGGCTGTGGAATGCGACCACTTCCGGGCCGCATGGAAAATTCCATGTAGGGGGAGTGTCGAAAAAAAAAATGGGTTCCCAGACAATTTTTTTTTAGCAAAATATTGTCCTTAAGTCGGGTTCACATACAAAAAAAACATACTCCCTCCGTTCTTTAATATAAGTCCTTTTAGGCTTTGTCACGGGTTTTAAGAGAAAAATAGTAGGAGTAGTGTAAAAGGTGTAATGAGTAGTGGATAAATGAAAAAGTAGGAAAGAGAAAGGGGTAATGGTAATAAAAGTGGGGGTATAAAGGTATATTTAGAGTAAAAAGTTTCCTTAAATGGAAAGGAGGACAAATAAAAAAAACGTCCTAAAAAGGAAAGAAAGACTTTTATTAAAGAACGGAGGGAGTAGATGTGTACAAAAAGTGGGTATAAGAGTGTTACAAACAACATTTTTGTTTGTAAATACGGAGTACTTCCTTACCGAGTTTGACTCTATGTTGTAAAAACCGGACCGGAGAGTGACCCGGCCACATGACTGGGTCACGGGTCAACCCGGACCCGGTGGGTCAACCCGGTCAACGCCGGAAAACCGGTCAATGATTATATGTCTATATAATAATAGTAAACATATAATTATATATAAAATTATAATAAAAATTAGTTATTATTCATAATAATCAACTAACAATACTACTTATTAAGCATTTAATACACTCTTAAAATATTTCAATGTATATTTTGATCTTATAAAAATATATAATGATATTTTTATTTTTATTGTACATCTATATTATAATTTAGCATGATGTTCATTCTTAAATAAATATATAAATATATTACGTAGTTTTTCTTTTTAAGTATTGAAATTGCAATTTTATTGGTATAAAAAATGCATTAAAAATAAAAAAGAAATTACTTTTTTTGGTAAAAACACCTAAAAACTGGGTTTTACCGGGTTTCTTGGGTCCGGGTCTTGACCGGGTTTTCCCGGGTCAACCGAGTTTTTCCGGTTTTTGACCATTTCCGGGTTTTGAAAAAACCGAACCGGTTTTTTGTCCGGGTTAGTTTGTTCCGGGTCAACCCGGCCGGGTCGGGTCGGTTTTTTAAACATAGGTTTGACTTGCACTCGAAAATAAAAAAATGATGTGATTTGAATTTAGATAGAGGAAGGAGTAACTTTAAGTCTTGACCACATACTTTTATTTTAAATGGAATTCACAATTTTTTAAAATAATTAAATAAGAAAATTTGCACTATAAAAAAAAGATAACTTGCAAAATTATGTGGGATGAATGGGATATATAGATTGAGTAACAAGATCATTAGAAGAGTGTCTCAAAAGAACAACCAAAAAATGTTGAGAAAAAAGGCAAATAAGGCCACGTACTAACAAAAAGAAGGTCAAATAAGGCTTTATTTAACAGGCTCTGTCCGACCGTCGTCATTTGGGGTGGTTCGCGGAGGAATTTTTTGATGAATTTTTTTGAGCATCTTATTCAGTAAGTCTAGTTTACTCATACCAAATTTCAGCTAAAACTTCAATCGGGAAAGCATTCAAATGAATTCTTGAAGATAACTATGCAGTTAAAAGCGCAATTATCTTCAAGAATTCATTTGAATGTCTTCCCAATTGAATTGTTAGCTGAAATTTGGTATGCGTAAACTAGACTTACTGAATAAGATGCTCAAAAAAATTCATCAAAAAATTCCTTCGGGAACCACCCCAAATGGCGACAGCCGGACAGAGTCTGTTGAATAAGACCTTATTTGACCTTTTTTGGTTAGTACGTGACCTTATTTACCCTTTTCCCAAAAATGTTTGAAAAGTATTCCCTCAGATCCATTTTTGGGTCAAACTTTATAAACTTTGATCGTTAGTTATTTATAATTTACATTATTTTATCATACAAAATTAATTTTAAATACTTCATTGGAGTATATATTATTCAAATATTAATTTATATTAGATTTTATATATTTACGGTCAAACTTCCGCCTAGAAGAGCGTAAAAGTCAAACTGAGAATGCAATTAAACAAGTGCTAGATAGTTAAATTTAATATGGCGTACTATTTGAGAAAACACATTTTCACATATAAAAAATGTGAAAAATATATTAAAAAAATCTAGACGAGCTGGAGTGAGTAATAAATAGCGTTTTTAAGTAGACTACGTGAGACAACACAATGACATCAACTCTGGAGCAATTAATAAGTACATCACAATAAGGCCCGGGACTGGCCCGGGTTTCCACCGGGTCCGGTTTGGGCCGGGCCTCGGGCCGGTATGTAATTGTTTTTGCTTTCCTAACTACCCCCCCCCCCCCCCCCCCCCCCAAAAAAAAAAACCCCAAAACACCCCGCCCAACCCGGGGGAAACCAAAAAAAATAAAAATAAAAAACATTTTGGCCCGAACCGGGCCCGGCCGGGCCGGGTCACCTTTTCTTCAGCCCGAGCCTACCCCCGCTCCTACCTACGGTCCCGGTCAAAGACCAGTATCGGGCCCGAAGCGCAGCACCGGGCCGGGCTGGTCCCGCACAGTAGCGGACCGGGCCGGTTCCCGGGTCGGGTGGCCCGAACCGAGTCCAAGACTTATAGTGCTTATGTAACTAGTAGCGAACCGAGTCTCAATTCAAGTCTTATATATACACCCAGGACATAAAATGATTCAGATATCCAATGACATGGTATCCTTGTTACCATATACATTTACTCTCAGTCTCTCATCAATTTTATTAACTTCAAGCCTATGCAACTAGTAGCGGACATAGTACTCCAGTGACAAGAGCATCCCTAAAGGTCAACAATTGAACATGTGACAAAACGACGGGCACTGCCACTCATTTCCAGAGCTTGACGGAGCTGTCATGGCTAGCAGAAGCAACCATTTCGGTGAGAGCTGCAATTATGTTCTCATGCGCAGGAACCGTAGCGCTTTTGTTCTCAACCATGTTCCACAACTCCAGAGACTGAAGGGTCGGTCTGGCTGGAGCTTGGAAAATGCATGGGAAATAAATGCGAGGAAATTTAGATGGGGGGAACTATTTTTCGGGAGAAATAAAACATCAAATGGTTTAAACTCAATAAACGTATTTTCAAAATCGGTTCACACATTTTATTTTTCTCTTTTTATTATAGGCTAAAGGGTCGAATAGGTCATTGAACTAACTTAAAGTGTTCAATTAGCCCCTTATATAGGAGGTTCTGCCCGGCTGTCGCTAATTGGGGCGTTTCCCGGTGGAATTTTTTTAAGAAAGTTTTTGAGCAGTCTAGTTTACCCATACCAAATTTCAGCTAAAAATTCAACCGAGAAGGCAGTAAAATGATTTTTTGAAGATAACATCGCAGTTAAACAGCGCAGTACATTTCGGAAAATCATTTGATTGCCTTCCCGTTTGAATTTTTAGCTGAAATTTGACATGGGTAAACTAGACTTAATGAAGAAGATGCTCAAAAAATTTCATTAAAAAAAATACACCGGGAACCGCTCCAATTGGCGAAGGCCGGACAAAACCTCCTATATAAGGGGCTAATTCAACACTTTAACTAGTTCAAGGGCCTATTTGACCCTTTAGCCTTTATTATATATAAAGACTGAAATCTCGCAACATGTGGACATTTTAAAAAGTGTTGATCATACTTCATTTTCCTTTGCATTCTATAAGATTTAGACTGAAGATTAAACTAGTACGATATATGATGTAATGGTCTTGCTGAGATGAAGAAGAATAGAATATGTTGGGATATATTATCCCGGCCTACCACTGTTCAGGAGCCCAAAGTAGTACCCAGCACGGAGGCCCGATCAGTGAGGCCTGTTTCAGCCCGTTTCGACCATCCGACCCACTTTGGCCCAGAAGGCCCACCTTGGCCCATTAGGGTGGAGTGCATATCTTCCCTTTTTGCCTATAAATAGGAGAATTTCCCTCCTAATGAAGGATCCCCTTATAACTTCTTCTTCCTCCTTTTCTCTAGTTAGCTAGTTTGCAATACTCCATGAATGAGAGCTCAATATCTGTATTATGTAATATATGTGAGGAGAGATTAATGAGAAAGAGAGGACTTGGACATTAGCCTAAAAAGTCCCGTGGTTTTCTCTCTTTCGGGTTTCCATGTAAAGATCGAGTATTCAACTATTCATACCAAATCATATCTATATTTATCATATCGTGTTGGATTAAACTCAACAAAATAGAATTTAGAGGGATTTGAAAGAATAGGTGATTTTAGAGGAAAAGTGTAATTATCATTCTTCTTACTTTTCCTTCTTCACACATTCAATTTATATAGTATACGGGGTATCCTTTAAGAAGTCGTTCTCTCCCTCTTATTCTTATTACTTATTGTTTATTCTTATTTTATTCAGATCAGATCAGACAAGGACAGAAAAAATCAGATCAGATCATATCGGATTAGAAGCATTCAGATCAGACCAGATCAGAAACATTCAAATCAGAACAAAAAATTTCAAACATGATTTATCACTTTTATTATTATAATTATCATCATCATCGTCGTCGTCGTCGTCGTCATCATCATCATCATCATTATTACTATTATAATTATATAGAGTAATTAAAATTATAGATATAATTATAATTAGTGTAGTAGGTATAATTTATAATTTTTATTTTAATTATTTTTATAATTTTTTTATGATTATAATTACAATTTTATTTAAATTATATTTGTAATTACATTATAATTATAATCATTATAATTATAATTATTATTATAGAATTATTCAAATGAGATTAGATTAGAAAGATTCAGATCAGAACTTAAAAAATTCAGATCCAGAAATATTCATATCAGACAAAGATGTTGCCTTTTGGAAAGAGGGCAACTGATGATGAAATGTCTTCAATTATAGAGAACAACACTTGGGTGTTGTCGGATTTGCCACCGGGTTCTAAACCTTTAGGTTGTAAATGAATCTTCAAAAAGAAGATGAAGGTGGAGGGAACGATTGACAACTTCAAAGAGAACAACTTCTAAGTACAACATCAAAGTGATAATTATAAGAGTAATTCTATTAACAACCACTTTTTTACTAAGTACATCCACATATCTTTAATAATTCCTATTATGTCCTTGCAATAATCCGCACTCCGCAGCCCACAGCCTCCTATAAGTAGATCTTCTTCTTCAGCGAGGACTTCAAAGAGGCCCACAATATGCAGGTAGCGCACTGGCGCAGGTCCCGTAATAGAAATTCATGTGGTTCGCATGGCTGCCTTGGAGAATCTTTTGTCTCTCACCAACTCCCTCCTGCTTAATCAACATGCAACTGCTAAAAAGCTCAGATTCGAGGAAAACTAAAAATAATTTTAATGATAACCTAAGTTGATTATACAAATTCTGGAAAAGACATGCAAATATGAACATCTAATGTCGATGGGCAGAGATGAGAATTGAAGTGGGCTTCTCCATTTGCAATTTGCTACTCCCTCCGTCCCGTAATTAAGTTCACAGTTTGACTTCACACAGATTAAGAAAATAAATTTGACTTTACTGTGGAGTGCACTGTTTTGCACTGTTTAATCATTGTTTGTCACTGTTTGACACTTTTTTTATGTAGATTATTTGCCAAATAAGGAAAGTTTTGAAGTGTGAAATTAATTTCGGGACTGCCCGAAAAGGAAAGTGAGAAGTTATTTTTGGAACGGAGGGAGAATTTGCAAGCAATTTCAGTTCGTCTTTCTCTTGTCCAGGATTAAACTAAGGAGTTACGTTTCATTTGGGCAAGAACGTGGTTGGAAAACATTTAGGAAGTGATAAAGAAGATGGGAAGAAGATGGTATTTCTGGACTATTTCAACATTAGAAAATATTTAGGAGATTCGAATACAGGGGAGGCTATATTGGGCTGCCGATTTTCATCTGAAGGACATAATAGGAACTATAAAAACATATGGATTGTGTTTAGCAAATAGGTGGCGGTAAATAGAATTTCCCTAATTATAACTACAACTAGAATAAGCCCGCCCAAATGAACAATTAGGCCCATTAGTTGACTGGTCCTGTCAGCCTTCATGCAGATGTTGCAAATCCAACCCACTGTACCCTTCTGGCAATTAGAGAGGTAAAGATCGAATTGGTACTCGAAATTGTATAAAAGAGATGAAATAAGTTCTTATATAGAAGACTCTGTCCGCTCATGGCCATTTGGGGCGGTTCCGATGGAATTTTTTTACTCAGTACCAAATTTCAGAAAAATAAAGATAAAAGCGCAATGAAGGGACATAAAGACTTAAGTTGTTACAAGCACATCTCTCTCGCATCTCGCTTGCTGTGCGGGCGAGGAAGGTTGTATGTGATTCATCGAGGGTTTATCGGCCCGTCTGGTGGTTCCCTGGATCGTCAGCTCTGCCATTTTATCACTCCGTATTATTATTTCGTCACAGTAAGCCTCTCGATTCGTTTTCTGGATCCGCTGTATATGCGAGTATATATTGTTTGCATCCCTGTCTTGTCTGCTTGTTTACTCGACTAATTAATCAATCGGAAAGAAAACAGAAATCCATACAAGGATCCGCGAATTGGAATCAATGGCATTGGGGGAGAAGAAAAGCGATAAAGAGGTGATCCGTTTGGAGCGGGAGTCTGTGATTCCAATCCTCAAGCCCAGACTTATCATGAATCTTGCCAATATCATTGAACATTCTTCTGACCGGGCCGAGTTTTTGAAGCTCTGCAAAAGAGTTGAATACACAATTCGAGCTTGGTATCTCTTGCAGTTTGAGGATCTCATGCAACTCTACTCCTTATTTGATCCTGTGCACGGGGCTCAAAAGCTCGAACAGCAGAACTTGGGTTCAGCAGAAATTGACGAACTTGAACAGAATTTCTTGACATACTTATTTGAGATCATGGATAAAAGCAACTTTAAAATAGCTACTGATGAGGAGATTGATGTTGCACATTCCGGGCAGTATCTTCTAAATCTACCCATCACAGTAGATGAATCTAAGCTTGACAAAGAACTCTTGAAGAAGTACTTTGCAGCTCATACTATGGAAAATCTTCCTGAATTTGCTGATAAGTATGTAATCTTTCGGAGAGGAATTGGAATCGATAGGACAAGTGGTTACTTTTTCTTGGAAAAAGTAGACACGATGATTGCACATATGTGGTATTGGGTTTTGAAGAAAACAAGGTTAGAGGCCTTGTTTAGGAGATCAAAGAGACCGCAGAGAAAAGTTCCAAAAAAAGATGATGAAATCACTGATGGAACAGAGGATGATGACTTATATGTTGAACGAATCCGTATTGAGAATCTCGGAATCAGTTTATGCAATCTCCTTAGCAAAATTACGATTCAAGAACCAACTTTTGATAGGATAATTGTTGTGTACAGACTAGCCAGTACCAAAACAAAACCAGAAAGGGGAATTTTTGTGAAGCATTTCAAGAATATTCCCATGGCTGACATGGAGATTGTTCTTCCGGAGAAGAAGAGTCCAAGTCTTACTCCAATGGATTGGGTTAAATTCCTTATCTCTGCAGTCATTGGACTGGTAGCAGTTGCAGGTTCTGTTGAATTGCCAAAAGCCGATTTTTGGGTCTTGTTTGCAGTTCTCTCCACAGTGATTGGATATGTTGCAAAAACATATTTCACATTCCAACAAAACATGGCTACATACCAGAACCTGATTACCCAGTCGATGTATGACAAACAATTAGATAGTGGAAGGGGTACTTTACTCCACTTGTGTGATGACGTAATTCAGCAAGAAGTAAAGGAGGTCATTGTCGCATTCTTCATATTGATGGAGCAGGGGAAGGCGACCTTGCAGGATCTTGACCTGCGATGTGAGGAACTGATACAGGAAGAATTTCAGGTAAGCTGTAACTTTGATGTTGATGATGCAGTAAAAAAGTTGGAGAAGTTGGGCATTGTTACTCGGGATACAATTGGAAGATACTACTTCGTAGGTCTGAAGCGGGCGAATGAGATTATTGGGACTACGACGGAAGAGCTTGTTCTCAAGGCAAAGCAGGGAACTATTGCTGCTGCTCCTTGAAAATGCAGATCACAAGTCTTGCCTATTTTATACGATAGTATATCGAATTGTTTTTGAAGATGATCCTGCTGCAATCAGATGAGCTTTGTGGTTTGAATATAATGTAGAATAATGCAAGGGTTGTATCCTAGTTCCTGTCTGCCAGGTGTTGTTGCTCTCTTTGTCACTTCAACCCTTTTGACAAATTTTTCTGTAATACAAGAGATTATTTTTCTGGATTCTTTTCTGTAGTACAAGAGCTTATTTATTCTGAATTCTTCAGTAGTCGATTCATTACTTCTACCCTAAAGAAAGGTGTGACTGTACTCCCTGAAAGGTGTGACTGTACTCCCTGGGTTCTGGGTTATTTACTCGGCGAGTACTCGGTGAGTACTCCCTACTCGGCCTATGACCTTGCAGATTAGCACATTACTCGGCCCGAGTTATTATTCCGAGTTACTCGCCGAGTACTCGGCGAGTTAGCCAACTCGGTCAGTGGGTCACAAAGGCGATTTACTCGGAGTACTCGGTATTTAAAAAAAAACATTACCTCCGCTTGGAAAAAATCAAATTGAGATTATCCTCTTTGTTGTTTCTTATTCTCTCTCATGTTGCCTATTATATTCTTCTCTGTATACTGTAATAAACTCTAAGAATTTTGGATTGTTCTTCGTTTGCTTGTGCTTCTTAAACTGGTGTTTTCATTGTACATTTTCAAGTCTTTGGCCAACTAAAGTGAATGTATTGAATGTACCCCTGAGACCTGAGTTGCTGAATGCTGAAATAAAATCTCTTAATTGAAAAGGTGAAAAATATAGCTTAGCAAAAAAGCATCATGTTTGGTTTTGGGTGAGTTGCAATTTTCATTTAGGGAACTACCTTTGAGGACTCGTTGTTCGGTAGGTGCCACTTTGAAGTTACTTTGAAGTTCTTCAATTGGAATAGGAATAGGTGCCAAAAAACTGCAGAAAATATTTGCCTTTTCTTCCACTGCTCGTGCTTCTTGAAGTTGTATTCTGGTATTGTTATATTGTATACGTATTATATGCATTTTAAGACAATTTCTATCCTTTTATTCACTTCTAAACATTTTAAGACAATTTAAAGACAATTTTATTACTATATTTTAAGACTACTATATTTAAATATATTTTTTATATTTAATTAATACTAGGCCGAGTAATCACCGAGTAATCCCAAGTAATCGGTCCTACTCGCTACTCGGCCCTTGACCGAGTAGCTACCGAGTAACGAGTAAACTACCTAACCTGGGTTCCCTTGCTTGCCCGGAATGACCCCAATCCCCCTCTTGGTTTGTTAATGAGTAATGACATATGAGTAGCCCAAGATCTTTTACGTTGCTTTATTATTTTATAGGGAAAATCGCATTTTTGGTTCCTCAATTAGTCACCATATTGAAAGGTCTGACCCATTTTTCTGAGATTGCACATGTTACCCCTGAATTGGCAGATGTGTAGTGAACGTCATCCCTGGTGAATCTATTGGTTGTCTAGAATTGGAGATGGATTATAAACGATGAGGATGACATTTACAACACATCTGTTAATTCGGGGGTGACATTTACAATCTCAGAAATACGGATTTGACATTTTAATATGGTGACTAATTGAGGGACCAAAAGTGTGATTTTCTCTATTTTATATTTAACATATGTAGGACATATACTTCAGCATACGGAGTAATATACTAACTTCGTTTAGGTTGTAAGTTACCTACACGAAAATACTGTAAAAGGAGGGATCATATGTTACCCCCCTTTCCTCCAATGAACAAGAGAGCAGAGTAACTAGGATGGAAAACACAAGAATGAAATCGGGGATAGTGTCACCAGTTTCCAATGACCAAACTTTGACACAATCCCCACTCACTGTTGCAAGCAGTTCTCCATTTAGATCCCAACAAAGGTAGTCCACAAGTCCCGAATGTCCCTAACAACAGATGGAGACGTATATAAGTTAGGCTAACAAGCAGTTACTTGATCATTGCTTCTAAAGCACAGAACTATAAATTATAATATACATCTCACAAATACCCGGAAGAATGGAGCTGATGGTCTGTCTCAACATCAAAGATTGATACTGTCTTATCTGATGCTGCTGCCAGAAGATGACCAGTTATAGGTAGAAACCTTGCATGAAAACGCCCCTCTTGCTATTGTGCGAGGACGGTAAATGGAAATTAAGCCAACTTAGTCAAGTAGTGAATACTATTCAATCTGGGTAGAACATTTTATTGAGAATTTGACACAAGAATATACTACGTACTTAGATGGACATGCCTTGGACACCCTAGTACACGAGAATGGAGAAATACTCCAGTAATGAACTTCATTATCGGTGTCACAGAGACAGAAAATATCATTCTTCTTTGGATGAAAATCCAGGGACATAACTTGTGAAGTATGTGAGGTATAGGCATTCAAACAATAGTCTGCCTACAATAAAGGAGATAATGTTTTCGTAGTTAAATAGGGGTAGAAAAAGAGTGGTCATAAAATAGGATTGACACATTCCGACCATAATATGAAGATTTATATATAAAGATCAAACGTTGAAAAGAACCAAACTCTAAGGCATAGATTTTTTTATTACATTAGCTGCATCCCAGAGTCTCACAGACTTGTCAAATGAAGCTGTTGCGAGCTGGGTTGAATTTGGCCGGAACCGCACATCAGTAATTAACCTTTGATGTTCTTTTGGAGTCATCTTTGTTTGCAAAGTGTCCATGTTCCAAATTACAGCCTGAAAAGAAGGCCAATGTGACACAATGGGCATGCAAACTAAACTGAAAAATATTTGTTTAATGAACCAAACAGAAAGACTACCAAACAAAGAAGTTAATACTTGATTTAGTCATCGACTTTCTTTTGAACTCAACTTTAGCTTGAACTGTAAATATAGTCAGTCGATGAAAACACCCTTACAAAGTATCTAAGAAGATTACATTGATTCCTAATTGCATAGTCGACAAGGTTGAGACACATAAAAAGAAAGTCAAGGACCAGATCGAGTAATAGAAAGCGCCTACACACCGGGATGCCGCACCAAAAAACACAATATGCGGTAAAAAAAAACCATCTTAGCACCTGAAAAGTAACCTAGTCGAGTAGTCACCCATATACACCTAGGCAGACAGTTGCCTACCAGGCATCAGGGAAAAAACTGCACAAAAAGTTGAGCTTACAATGCATGAGGTAAGCATACTCTAGTCCACCCTATATGCCTAGGCAGACACCCAGACAGTTGCGTAGTAGGCAGCAGAGAAAAAAACACATACTCCCCTCCGTCCCTAATAACTTTGCCAAGTTTGACCGGCACGGGGATTAATAAAGTAAAAACTGTGTGGTTGAGGTTTGTGCAGAGGAGAGAGAATTAACTGGAACCACAAATTCTTTACTTAAATGGGAAAGTGGCAAAGTTAATGGGACATCCAAAAAAGGAAAGTTGGCAAAGTTATAAGGGACGGAGGGAGTAAAAAATTAAGCTTACAATGCAAGGGGTTAGAGGGTATGCATACTCATAGGAGTCTAGGAGGAGAAACTAAAATCATACTCCCTCCGGTTCTTTTTAAACTTTAGTGTTTGACTTCACAGTTATTAAGGAAATAAAGTTGACTTTACTGTAGAGTACACTGTTGAGACACTGTTTGACACTGTTGAGACACTGTTTGGCACTGTTGAGACACTGTTTGACACTATTTAGCACTGTTTAACACTGTTTTGATGTATATTTCTTTGCCAAATAAGGAAATAAGGAAGTATGAAGTTTATTTTGGACCGTCCCAAAAAGGAAAGTGTGAAGTTTATTTAGAATCGAAGGGAGTATAAACTAACACTGTGGGGGGATCTAGCTGACTTTTATAACAAAGAATAAATGACAAATTTCTGCTTCGTTAGGGTTCGAACACATGATCATCCATATGAAACTCAGACACCGTGACCTGCTGAACTATACACAAAGAATAAATGACAAATATGTACTCCCTCCATCCCTTAAAGGTTTGCCATGTTTGACCGGCACGTAGAATAATAAAGTAAAAACTGTGTGGTAGAGATTTGTGCAGAGGAGAGAGAAATAACATGAGCCACAAATTGATTGATTAAAATGGAAAGTGGCAAAGTTTTTGGGACAACCAAAAAAGGAAAGTTGGCAAAGTTATAAGGGACGAAAGGAGTACCTTTGAGCTCTTTATACGTCAGCTGCTAGGCTTTTATAAGGAAAAAGGTTAGCTATTAGTCTATCACACAACTGACACAATTAAGCCAAGTGATTGGTTTTAAATTATAAATGCATTTCCTGATTCTAGTACTCACCCATGTTGACATGCATACATAGAAATATAGAATATTCATTTATGACGTCATTATCATAATACGGTGGGGTAGGGGGGTCGGATGTACGCAGTCTTACCCCTGTGCTAAAGCACAAAGGGACTGTTTCTGAATGATCCATAGTGAAAATCGCGTAAAAAAATAATACTCCCTCTGTGTTTAATAAACTTCAGACTTTCCTTTTTGGGTAGATCCAAAATAAACATCACACTTCTATTTTTGGCAAGTTTTTAAAATAAAGTTACTCATATACCCTTACTTTATTACCTACTTTACACCCACTTTCTCTCTCCCACTACACTTTATCACTTTTTTGTAGGGGCATGATGGGAAAGTCAAAAGTAAAAATTCCACTTTCTTAAAAACCGTAAAGTCAAACTATGAAGTTTATTTCGGACCGGAGGAACTAGGGAGTATTCATTTATGACGTATTTAGAATAAATACTGATAATTTAAGAGCCCGTTTGGTAGCACGAAAATCGGCTGTTTTGGTTGATTATGCTGAAATTTATGAAGTTCTGGCTGAAGTGGCTGCATTGGCTGATTTTGTTGATTTAAGAAAAAATATTTTTAAAATATATTTTATTAAAATAAAGAAAAAATTATATGTAAAAATAGCTAAAATGATCATCTACATTAACATCAGCCAATACAGCCATAAAAGTAACTCCAACCTTACTTTTTCAGCTTATTACACAATTCAGCGCGCGAAAGTAAAAAATACGTGTTTGGTAACAAAGTTGACTGATAAGCCTGATAAGCTGAAAAACAGTGGTTCCCAACGGCCTCTAAGTGTGGTTTGATCTAGTCTAAACTGATTTGGTAAATATCTGATCTTTATGTATTATAACTGTGCGATTTGATCTCTTTAAGTCTGATTTGGTATTATCCATTTAAGTATAGTCTATTCTGGTATGAGATTAAAACAGTCTAAGCATTCAAATTTATTTTTATGAATTAAAAAACTTAAAATTGGGAGAATGACTAGCAAACTCGATCTAATCTAGTTATAATTCATGATTATATTACACAAGTCAATGAGTTGATATTCGATTAACGGTTCTTCACTCCTACATTTTTATTCGTATGATGATATAAAAAACATTTATTTTAAGTTTCTACTCCGTATTATATATCAATATTGATATAGGATCTCCTTGTTAATTCTATAAAGAACTTGCTCACTTTTTTATCATAAAATGAAAAAATAACTCTGTATATTCGAATTTGCAAGCCATGTCTATCGAGACCATCGCGATAAAAAATTGTAATTGTAAGAACTTTATAATGTGTTACAAACTTACAATATTTATATGCAGAGTAGTAAATACTCCCTTCATCCCATTAAAATTGGCCAAATTTCATTTTTTGTTACCGTCCCAAAAAACTTGTCATTTGCATTTAAAGTAGAAATAATTACATATTTATGATTAAAATAAAGATTTTTTTACAAAAAGGTGACTAGTGACTAGAGTAGTAATGGAATCATAGTAATTTATGTTCATTTTTTAAAGTTAAGTTACTATGACACTACATTGTAGTAACTATTAATCATATTTTTGTAAATATGTTTTATTTTAGTAATGTTTTTGAAAAAAAACCTTTAATGTAAGAAATATGTGACTAATTTTTTTTTTGAACAAAACCCTTTAATGTAAGGAATATGTGACTAAATTTATTCTCTCTACTCTGCACAAATATCAACTATCCATTTTTTTTCCCAAAAAAAAACTATCCATTTTTTAACATTATTAATCTACGTTCAAGTCAACTTTGGTCAAGTTTTATGGGATATATGATACTTCCTCATTCCCTTATAATTTTGCCAACTTTCCTTTTTGGATGTCCCATTAACTTTGTCACTTTCCCTTTTAAGTAAAGATTTGTGGTTCCAATTAATTCTCTCTCCTCCGCACAAATCTCAATCACATACGGAGTAATTTTTACTTTATTAATTCATGTGCTGGTCAAACTTGGTAAAGTTATGAGGGACGAAGGGAGTAGTAATTAAAGTTGGTAATCATAATTATATTGGACCGAGAACCATGTTTTAAAGATTCTTTTTCTTTAGAAATAGTCAAACAAAACAAAAAAAAACAATATTTGTACCTAATTTTATACCCACACCAAAGTGAGAGGTGTTTTGTCTGTGAATCACATTCACAAACAAAACATGTCTTATTTTTCTGTGCAAATTTGCAACGTGAGACTTTTCGACTTTCATTGCAATTTGAGATGCAAGAAATTCACATGCTTGTGGACTTTTCATTGCAATTTGAGATGCAGGAATTCTTATGCTTGTGGGGTTGTGCACACACTTATTGATTGGAGTGTCCAAATTTTTGCAGTACTACTGCACTATTTTGTATTCAAATGATGTAATTTTTTTTTGAGAGGAACAAATGATGTAATTTTAGTTATAAACAAAATCATAAGAACATCATTAATGCTTATAAGAAAAATTAACACAATAAATTTTCCAGCTTTTACGCTCATATTCATAGGACGACTGCCAATCTGCCATTATATCAGATGAAAACAAAACCACTAAATTATTGGTCGGATATTAACACAAGATGAGCTTTATACATCCTATAAATAACTAATGTCCGTATTACATTTCTACAAATCAAGTTCCAAAACTTATTTTCTCCAACATCTCTTAGTAAATTTAAATTTTAATTTTTTTGCAAAAAAAAAAAATTAAATTTTAATTTAAGATTTCGACATGATTGGTATGTGGACTATGATCAGCAACATCAATCGGGCTAGGACCAAATGGGCAATGAAAGTCCGGGCAGTTTGTGTCTGCTACACCGCCCAACTCAAAAAACTTATGGAGCATCCTTGAAATGCATATTACATATTTACATGATGAAGAGGTCCTATATTTTTTTAAAGAAGATTTTATTTATATAATAAAAAGTACAATACATGAAGACAAATAAAAGTAAAAAACAGTACACAAAAGAAAAAAAGAATACAAACAAAAAACTAGACCCAAGGGAAATCTCTGGACTACGATCTAGTCCTATATTAATTACTTACATATGATATTCCCAAGAGTGCAGTGTTTCAATTTTTTTATATATTGACTTTCCCATTAAAATGTTTAATCTTACTTCATTTGCATCACTGCATGCTCAACAGGCCATTGATGCAAACATTTGCATAGACATTGATTAAATATGTACAATATGAAAGTATTTTAAACATTTTCATTACAAATTTAAAAACACAAATGTTATGCAGATGTAATTGGAAAGGGGACATCATATAAAATGTTTGGATCACGGGATAACTATTGTTGCGAATTGGGTTTTTTTTTCTTTTTCCTCTTAAAATTAAAAACAATATTTTGGAACACATACAAAACAATTCTATTTTGATCTTCAAATTAAAATGTACAAAGGCAAGTGAAATATACAGTTCACTCTCCTTGGACCCAACTGTCAAATGGGACTTATTGTTTTTGTTTGATTTACTAGAGAATATTGGTTTATAAGGGTGGATATCCAGTTTGGGTTTGGTCTGGTTCTTATTTGAGCCATCCAATTCTAGGGCATGGCAATAGGGATGGACTCGGGCCGGTTCGAGCCCGGCCAGGCCTCGGTTCAGGAAAGGGAGGCCCGGAACCGGCCCGGGTAACCCCCGGGCCCGGTTCGGGCCGGGCCGAGCTGGGCCTCGGTCCAATCTATTTTTTTTTGGCTTCTCCTAATTAACTCTCAACCCTCCCCCCTCACCCCCAAACCACCCCAAACCACCTCACATGGCCCAAAATACCCAGGCCAACCCAAAAACTTTAAAAAAATTCAAAAAAAAAAAATTGGCCCGGACCGGGCCCGGACCGGCCGGTTCACCATTCCTAGGGCCCGAGCCCGAACCGTATGACTAGCGGGCCGGGTCAACCCGAACCGCCCTATGGCCCGGTTCCCGGGCCGGGCCGGTTCAAACAGTGACCGGGCCGGGCCGGTTCTGAGCCGGGCCGGTTCTGAGCCGGGCCGCCCGGCCCGAGTCCATCACTACATGGCAAGAATATGCAATTACAACAAAATATACCCAATTTGGGATTGATTCTGTTCTTGAGTCAATTTTGATGTCCCAGAGTTATCGGGTATTCGGGTTAGCCGGCTTTCTAATCTATTTATTAAAAATACAACCAATGCTGCTTTAGGCTCCTACCATAAGATCTGATCCCAACCAAGTCGGGTCTTAAAGCCAGATCCATCCCCATTGGTAAATCGCTTCATTTATTAAATTTTGAAATATATAACGAATATTTAGAATGAATTTAAAAAACCAAAAGGCTCTCAGATAACGAATAATCATTTTGAGCTACAACAGGTAGATAACAAGCCTGATATTCAATGATCAACCATATCATGTACCAAAACCAAAGATAAGGGCACATGATCACCTTTCCACAAAGATAAATATATAAACAAAAATCTGCACAGCAGAGTATGATGACAATAGCTTACTTTAAGTTGTGCTGTTTTCTAATGGAACAATGCTTCGCTTGTCCGAAACAGGCCTTTCGACTACTTTCTCAATAGATTGCACATTCTTTTTCAATCGTTTATTATTCACGGAATTCTTTTCTACTGCCCGCTGCAATATCCTAACTGGAATGCCGCCCAAATCAAAGTCTTCCTTCAATGATTTTGTTAGGAACCTCAGGTCTGTATCAGAGAGCTGGTTTTTACCACTCACAAAGGCAACAAAAGTTGGTGGTCTGGCTTTCACTTGAGTGAAGTACTTAATCTTGGGTTGAGCTGCATGTTCTTTCCAAGAATGTCTACTCATCACCTGACATGTCATAGTAGACAATATTAATAATGTTGTTATTCCATACAAGTAAAATATATTTATACAAATTTACATATATAACATTAGGCTACCTTATATACGAGTTTTGAGGATGAAATCTTATGTTTAATATTATATCATATCATATACTTCGTATCATATATTCATATCTATATAAATTCAAATTAGCAATCAATCTGACTAAAACTCAAATACAGCAACTAATACAAACTCATGTATAGTCACTTATTGGACTATTTTCCCTATTATGTTAACTTTTTAGAATGAAACAACAGTTCTTATTGAAGTGTTCCGAAATTACAAAGCATAGCACCACCTAGGGGAGAACAGTTTGTCTAGGAGGGAAGCAGGGGCAGAGGTGGGGGATGCTAGGTCCCAGCCCACCCCAAACGTTAAAAAAACTTTGATTATTAATGTCAAAAATTTTGAGTAAAAATTTATCCAAAAAAAATAATCTACAGGCCTAGCCCAGTATATATAGCCTTGGCTACACCCTTCGAGGGAAGCAATTCTCAAACCTTGATTAGCCAGCGGTTGAGACGAGCAGTAGACAATCTTAGACACCACTTTTCATAGGTTTCAATGACCTGACGCATCACAGCTATTCTCCCCATTCCTTCAAGTGCTGAAACAAATACAACAGGAATTCCTGTGATCTGCAGATGGATTGGCGGGATAAATGAAAATGAAGTGTGTATTATTGTTAAATATGTTAATCACACAATCAGGCTTCCTTATATCTATCTTTTAATATATAACATGATTAATTGACTATAACAAATATCTTAATGTGATAATTTCACATTGTCATATGATATTTACTATGCAATTAGGAGAAACTGATAGGAGTGTTTTTCAAAGGAATGTAGCTCTTCTATTTTTTGGAAATAATCCCAACAAAAATCCAACAAAAATATTACTCCATTTGTCTAATACTTTTCTTACCACTTTGACTTGGTAAGCTTCTTAAGGAAGTGAAATTGTGTGGTTGTGATTGGTATAAAAAAGAGAAACAATACCAACCACACAATGACACAAATCACTCCTCAAAAGGAAACAGAAGATAAGTTATGTACATCTCAAAAAGGAAAGTGGGAAGAAAATTACGGGATGGAGAGACTAAAATAAAATATAAAAACTTCAAATCAAACTCTCCTATTTTGCGTCTGCTGTTATTTTCTTCAATAATTTGGTCCGCCTTTAAACAATATATGTACTACACTACCACATATTATTAACATTGCCTTAATAATACTTATCAACAAGACCCCCTCCCCCCCCCACACACACGTGTTCCATATTTTATATGTTGTTTCCATCCTGTGCCTATGTCTGGGATTTATAAAATTTGCTGACAAACCTGGGGTATTACTGTCTGAATTTCTTCAGGGACAGCCTTTATAACACTCTGGTATAATTTTGCTTTTTGTTTCCCTCTGAGAAGATCCATCTTGTTCACAACGACGACCAAACCCCGTCCTTCCGCCACAGCTCTTCTTGCAATAAGCACTTCAACATGTTTCATGCTGCGCCTATCTTTAGCAACCTAGCCATTGTAAAATTGATCAAGCTATAGTGTACATTCTATTTAAAAGGAGGTCTCAAGTCTCAGATAAATGAACAAATAAAAAAACATTTCGAATAAAAAGACAAATGAGCCTGGAAACAAATGTGCGTACTAATCAGCATTAAATACTCTATCGAATTATTAAAGGTCTCTCCTGATCAAACAAGTGAAACTCCCGCCCATTTCTCTACTACTTATTTCACTCCTTTCTATTTCTTCACAAACACAAAGAAGGCTAAATGTTATGACTATACTCAACTAGTGCACTCCAGCACTCCATCGAGTAAAGGTCTCATAATAAAATTATGAGAAAGAAAGAGCAGTAATATACCTTTAAAATAATGATAGGTAAACAAATATCTGAATATTTGGGATTTCTTTATGGAGTCATAGGAGCTCATGTGGCCTCATCATCATAACCATCTCTATATATAGTAGGGTCATCCCACTATAAAAATAGATGATGATATCATGATAGTGAGGCCACATGGCTGATATAATTTCATTAATTTCATATGACTCCATAGTATTTTCCGGCAAACAACTTCCAAAAAAGTGAAAAACTATCCCCTAACAGCAAGAAATTACGCCACTTCATACTTTCATTAGTAAGAGATTTCACATTGTGACATTTAAAAACAAGTCTGGGAATGTTAATATAGCTTTCAGAAAGCTGAGTATAAATATTATCGTCCACAGCTAACAATGCCAATGGCACACCTCTTCATCAGAAGCACTACTCTCCCCTCTCCAAGAACAAAGAAAACAATGCATATACCTAACGACGAAGAAAGGAACGAAAAAGAAAACAATGCATTTTTTCTTATTCTTACAATTTCTTATTAATTGGTTTCCCAAATTAGAGATTACAGTTGACTTTATGGACTTCAGAGACTATATTAACATGAAAAAGTGAAGACAATCAAGACATATATATGCCAATTGGTGTTCGGGAGCCTTGAACAATAATATAAGCCGTATTAAAGGACATTGAAGGGTGGGTGGCCTGTGTTTCTAATTTTGCTGTAGTGAGTACTTCCTTTTTTAATGAAACAGAAAACGCTGATAGCCCTTCGGAGAGAGTTGTTTCACAGTTTGTCTACATATCATTGATACCTCTACTAGTTAGTGGAGACTTCTTAAATAAAACAGGTTTTTTAGAAAGAAGGTGAAAATGTTCAAATATACTCCGTAGCATAAAGTTTAGCCTGTAATTCAATAAGATTGTATTAGTAGCCATATAGCTACGTTCATAACTTCATATGCCCTCGTGTTCAAACCTCCAGTTTTCCTCAAAGAGACAGTTAAGTTATTATATTCAATATCAACAACAAAATAAAATGGTAAAGGTTTACTCATCAAGAAATCAATGTACACTAATGGACTAATTTCCAGATACCATTTCACAGAAACCTTTAATATATAACAAAATAATGATTTGCATACCTCCTCTGCATCAAGGACCAATGCAACTATATGGGCACGCATTAGATGTTTCCTTGACTGCACTATACTCAAAGATGATGGACCCTTCTGCTTTGTCCTTTCCAACCAACCAGCAGTGTCGACCTAAAAAATAAAAAGTACACAATACTGTGTTGGAATCTTTAGAAAACTTCCAGAAAAAAAAAGTAGTTGATTCAGAGATAAAGCAGAACGAAAAAGAAAAGAAAACGAGGGCATTTATTTATGTAGTAGTAAAATACATATAAATCGTTTGCTCATACTTCAAATGTATGACCTTATAGGCACAATATACACTGTATATAGTAGTTGGAAATTTGAGTTAAGGTATACACCTTGAAGATTACTGAAGGATATAATAGTAAAACACTGTTATTTATTGATATAGCCTACTTTTAGTTTCCAGGGCTATTTGTTTTTTTGCCATAGGTTGTAGCCAGCTGCCAGCTTTAGGTAAAACTTTTTGTCAAGTGACTTACATACAATTAAATATCATATAGAAGAACAACATATACATCCGATAATATGCTGAAATAGACTAGAGGCCTAATCAATTAACTTTGTGGTTTAAGACATATTATGGAAGAGAACAATACTTGGTAGAGTCGTACAGAGAGAGAGAAGCCAGGTAAAATCCTACCAAATAAATTGTCCGTCCTTCATAATGAAACTGTGCTCGGATCGAATCTCTAGTCAATCCAGCTTCTGGCCCAACCAAAACACGCTCTTCTTGTAATATTGCATTCAACAATGTTGATTTTCCAACATTTGGACGCCCTACAATAGCCAACTGTAATGGCAATTTGGTTTCCATGCCCACAGAGGATTCTTGTTCCTGATTATTGTTATCTTCATTATCTGTAATTTGTATGTGTCAAGATCTTTTGTCAGAAACATATGTTCTGATTAAGTAATAGCTTAAAAAAAGGAACCTTCAACTAAAATATCACTCATGAACTTACAAGGAATAGAAGTAAAATCCCCAAAAAGCCAAACCATGGGTGATCCAAAATAGATAGCCAAATCACCAAAAATATTAGAGAACGTAACATTTTTTTTACTCCAGGGGGTCTGGGGGAGGGGGCCTGGGGGCCTGGAGTAATCTGGGTTGAAACAAGTAGTGTTTTGAAATATATGGGAATTTTTTACCTCTACAAGTTCTTGAGTTGGTGACTTAGTGAAGATTCTTTTACATGGGATTCTTCATTTTTCACCTATTAACATCAGCCCATGGGTCCTTTATCTACATACATGTGGGTGTCTGTGCAGTATAACATCAAGGGAAGTAAGGTTATTTAATATATGAATATCAATAGAGACACTTTTGTCAAGCTTCATTTTCTCTGGGAGTGCCACTTGGTGTTCACTATCAGAAATTCATAATACTTGTTTCCTATTTTTGGATATAGCTTTTATAGTTCTGTTCCTGCAACCATGGTTCAGGAGACAGTAGAGGCTGTACCATCTCTTCCAGGGACCATCCACGCAACGAGTGCCGCTGCCTTAGTCACCAGGTGCTGCTCACTGCTGCCACCCACAGGCATCTGAGGGTTATTCTGGGGACATTTCTAGGTGATACATTCCAGACTTCCAGTTAGCTTTACCTACCCTCTGCAACCTTCCAACACAATATTCAGAATGCCACAACCAGGGCTGAATATGAAGAATTTCTATATCTTAAGACAACTATGGCTTCAGCTGTCCCAAAAACTCATGTTACAGTTTTTTCCACACAATCAAATCCTAAGAGGGCTTTCGACACAAAGAATGGTAACCATGTTTACTGTGTTGCAAACATGGAACATGTTACTGTGTCGCGTATAAATGTCCGTGTTCATGTGTTCACGTGTTATATTGTCTCTTCAAGTTTTAGCACCGCAAAGAATGGTAACCATGTTTACTGTGTTGCAAACATGGAACATGTTACTGTGTCTTGCATTTAAATGTCCGTGTTCATGTGTTCACATGTTATATTATAGATTAAAATGATTAGCCGATGTAAACTCTTCTTTCATTGAGTAGTATATTTATAGTACAATACAACAACCGATCCTACAAAGAAGGGATAAGATTTACAATAATTAATTACCACTTAACCTAATCTATAGTAACAACATGTACCTAATTGACCTATTCTAAAGATATTCGACACTCCCCCTCAAGCTGGTGCAAAGATATCAATCATGCCCAGCTTGCTGATAAGTTCTTTAAATGCTGATTTGAATAGACCCTTTGTAAGCACATCTGCCAACTGTTCTTGAGTAGAGACATAAGGCATGCAAATTTCTCCACTTTCAAGCTTTTCTTTAATGAAATTTCTGTCAATCTCTATGTGCTTCGTACGGTCATGTTGAACAGGATTGTTTGCTATATTTATAGCAGATTTATTGTCACAGAACAGCTTCATGGGTTGCTCAATTTCCTCTTTAATTTCCTTCAAGATTCTTCTTATCCAAATGAGTTCACAAACACCTGAAGCCATGGCTCTGTATTCTGATTCAGCACTACTGCGTGATACAACATCTTGTTTCTTGCTTCTCCACGTGACAAGGTTACCCCACAGGAAGGTACAATATCCTGTGGTTGATCTTCGGTCATTAATGTTTCCTACCCAATCAGCATCTGTAAATACTTCTAGTTTCCTACTCTCATTTTTTTCAAACCAAATACCTTTTCCTGGACTTCCCTTTAGGTAATGTAATATTCTGTACACAGCCTTAAGATGAGTGTCATTTGGACAATGCATAAACTGGCTCACCAAGCTAACTGCAAAAGCAATGTCAGGCCGTGTGTGAGATAGATATATGAGTTTCCCTACCAGTTTTTGATACCTGGTTGTATCTGTTGGAGTGCTCCCATCATCTAAATAAAGCTTTTGGTTTGGATCAATAGGAGTCACAGCTAGTTTACATCCGACTATCCGAGTAAGCCTGTCTCTTTGAGCAAGTCTAGGACATATTTCCTTTGGGAAAGAGCTATCCCTCTCTTTGACCTTGCCACTTCCATTCCTAGGAAATATTTCAGATTTCCAAGGTCTTTGATTTCAAATTGTGTGGCTAAAAGTTGTTTCAGTTTCTCTAGTGCTGCAACATCATCACCTGTCAGTACAATATCATCTACATATACTATGAGAATGGCCTTTTTTCCATCTGAGGAGTGTTTGTAGAACAATGAGTGATCAGCTTGTGACTGAGTGTAACCTTCTTGTTTAATTGTCTTTGCAAACCTCTCAAACCATGCCCTTGGAGATTGCTTCAAGCCATACAATGACTTATTTAACCTGCACACTTTTCCAACTGTGTTATAATTATCAAAACCTGGTGGTATTTTCATGAAAACTTCCTCTTTCAATTCCCCATTAAGGAATGCATTCTTCACATCAAATTGATGTAAAGGCCATTCATGATTTGCTGCTAATGAAAGTAGAACTCTTACTGTATTTAGTTTTGCCACAGGAGCAAATGTTTCTTCATAGTCCATTCCATATGTTTGTGTAAAGCCCCTAGAGACCAGCCGTGCCTTGAATCTCTCCCCTGTTCCATCAACTTTATATTTGATTGTAAAGATCCATTTACTACTTACAGTACGTTTGCCTGGAGGAAGTTTGGTCACTGTCCATGTGTTGTTCTTTTTAAGAGCACACATTTCTTCTAGAACAGCCTCTTTCCAGCTAGGAATAGCTAGAGCTTCATGTATAGACTTAGGAATCTCATCATCAGTAATACTGGTAGTAAAGGTTTTATAGCTAGAGGAAAGATTAGCATAAGATAAATGATGAATAATAGGGTGTTTCGTGCACTCTCTAGTACCTTTTCTAAGGGCAATGGGAAGATTGGGATCTGGATCAGTGATGGGAACAAAATCAGACTCAAGAATATTAGAATTACCTGGAATTATAGTCGGATCAGATGTTGATGGTGCTAGCAAAGGTGTTGGTGTCACCCCTTGACGAGGACGTCGGGAATAAACACGAAGAATAGGCTGGGAAGTTGTTTGGGCCGGAACATGTTCATTTTCAGCAGGAATCACCGGATTAGGTAGGACATATTCAGTAGGAACGACTGGCTGATCTTCAAGTATAATATCTTTCTCCCCCTGAAGATCCATACTCACTATAACTTTACCAGTGTGTGGATCAAAAGCTTTGTAACCCTTTTGAGTAGGAGAGAACCCAAGGAAGAGACATTTCTTAGACCTCGGGTCAAGTTTACTTCTATGTTGAGCATGAGTATGAACAAAAACTGTGCTGCCAAACACTTTGGTGGGTAGAGTAGTGAATGACCTATTGAGTGGGAAACAGGATTGAAGGGTTTGTAAAGGTGTTGAGAAACCTAAGACACGACTTGGCATGCGATTTATGAGATATGATGCAGTAAGGACAGCCTCCCCCCAAAATTTCTTAGGGACATTCATAGAAAATAAGAGGGAACGAGCAACTTCTAATAAATGTCTGTTTTTTCTTTCGGCTATGCCGTTTTGCTGAGGGGTATTGACACAAGAGCTATGAAGTATTCACGACCATTATCTGTCCTAAGGACTTGAATTTTTGATTGAAATTGAGTGTGAATCATGGAGTGGAATTTTTTGAAGATAAATGCAGCTTGGGATTTTTCTTTTAGGAGATAGATCCAAGTTGTTCGTGTGTGATCATCTATAAATGTTATAAACCATCTAGTACCAGTAATATTTTTATCTTGTGCTGGTCCCCAAATATCACTATGCACAAGAGCAAATGGTTTAGATGGAATATACTTTAGAGAAGGAAAAACTGATCTATGATGTTTAGCTAATTGACACACTTCTCATTGAAAAGAAGACATGCTTTTATTTCGAAATAATGCTGGAAACATATGTTGCAAATAACTGAAACTGGGATGGCCTAAACGATAGTGCCATAACATTATTTCATCAGAAAAAACAACATGTCTATCAAAACTAGAGGAATGTGCTTGATCTTAGGAAGATTGTCTTGGTCAAGGAAGTAAAGTCCATCACGTTCGCTAGCACTGCCAATCATCTTCCCTGAAGATAGTTCCTGAAATATACAACCATTAGTAGCAAACTTAAGAGTACAATTACTATCAGTTGATAGTTTGCTGACAGAGATAAGATTACAGGAGAGTTTTGGGACATGAAGAACATTAAGAAGAGTGAGTGAGGAAGAGACAACTATAGATCCTTTGCCTGCAATGGATGAGAAGGAACCATCTGCAATTTTTACTTTCTGGTGACCAGAACAAGGGGTATATGAAAAGAATAGATAAGAGTTGCTAGTCATGTGATCAGTTGCTCCTGAATCTATGATCTAAGAGTCTGAATTTTCAATTGTGATTGTTAGAGCAGATGGAATTATACCTGACTGGGCAAGAGATGAAGATGAATTGGAGGGTTTAGGATCTGGAGAAGACTGATGATGATGGTTGAAAAGTTTGTACAATTGCTCTAGCTGCCCCTTGGAGAAATGGGACTGCTCATTTTGTTGAGATGCACTGGCACTGGCTTCTTCAGAAGACACATGGAGACCTTTACTCTCTTTGATACCTTGTGGAGAATCATCAGGCTTTCCATGTAATATCCAACATTTTGTTTTCACATGACCAACACGGTGACAATACTCACAGAAAGGTCGATTACCCCGTTGTGGTGGCCGCGAGGAATTTTGCTTTGGTCTGTGAGTCACCAAGGCTGAGATTTCTGATGCGGAGTTTATTGGATTATGACCCAGCATTACTGCCCGCCCGCCTGCTTTCTTCACGGCGGACCTCTGCAAAGACATCTCTTGTATTTGGTAACGGATGACGGCCCAGCAATCTGCCTCTAACTTCATCTAATTCCTTGTTTAAACCTGCAAGGAAATAAAAAACTCGCTCCTTCTCCACTATAGAGATCAGATTCCTGCCATAGCATTGTCAGCCGAACAACTCCATTTATAATCACTATAGAGATCAGATTCCTGCCATAGGTTTAGAAGCTCTGTGTAAAATTGAGTGACAGATTTCTCACCTTGTTTGAGGCGATTTTTCAACTCAAATAATTGACTGGCATTACCTACATCAGAATAGGTTTCCTTTACAGCCGTCCAAATGTCATGAGCAGTTGGAAGAAAGAGATAAGTACGGCCGACATCAGGTTCCATAGAGTTGATCAGCCATGACATCACCATTGAATTTTCCACCTCCCATTTATCATGGAGTTTATCGGAAGTTGCTGGTAGGGAGACATCGCCGGAGAGATAACTGAATTTGCCCTTCCCTTGAATGAAGAGTTTGACAGACTGAGACCATTGAAGAAAGTTTCTGCCATTGAGTTTATGGGAAGTTATCGACAAGCCTTGAATAGGCTCAGAATTGGAGAAGGAAGATGATCCGATCGAGTGAGAGGAATCACTCGTTGAAATCGAGTGTTCAGAGGTGGTCTGGGGATCGGCCATTTTTTTCTTTTTAGGTTAGCGGCTCTGATACCATATAGATTAAAATGATTAGCCGATGTAAACTTTTCTTTCATTGAGTAGTATATTTATAGTACAATACAACAACCGATCCTACAGAGAAGGGATAAGATTTACAATAATTAATTACCACTTAACCTAATCTATAATAACAACATGTACCTAATAGACCTATTCTAAAGATATTCGACATATATTGTCTGATTTGCCTCTTCAAGTTTTAGCACCGCAAAGAATGGTAACCATGTTTACTGTGTTGCTTACATGGAACATGTTAAGATGTTCCAGCGTGAGAGGCTGTTGGCTTAGATAAGAATATGCTTCATAACCCTTCATTTGTTCATGATTTGTGTAATTGTGTTACAGGAGACTTTCTTAAATAGGATACATCACCTTAGAGACTAAAGGTCCTTTATCTGCATATATTATTAAACAGAATGAAGAACGTTGCCGGCTTTTATTGCATCATTTTACTTATTTATTAATGTTCAAGAAAAATCAGAGTTTCTAGATACAATCATACAAGGGTCTACCATTTTTGGAACTTGTACATGTATCATAACAGGATCCATCAAGAAGTAAAGTCAAATAAAATTAATAGAACTCCTACTATTCACAATGGTGAAAAGTGTTTTCATATTGTGATAAACAAGTCCAAGTTCTGAACCCCCATATAGAAACATGCTTCTGATTTCCTGTATGAAATCTTCAAATAACCATAATTTTTTTCCAGAACAATGAACCAAAGCTTTAGGCTCAGAATAAAAAGTGAACTTGTATGGATAGTTCGAACAAAGTTTAGTTAATTCATTGGCATGCTAAAGGAACATGTTTAACAGCTTCCAACAATGAAACTAATCTAAATTTTCAAGTACGTTCTTTCAGGGTTTGAGCACAGAACCTAGCAGTCAGTGAGCGAAGAAGCAGCAACCAATGCAATATAAATAAGCTAAATGAAAATGGTCCAATAGAATTTACCCACCTTTTGGAGGGTAAAATTGGAAACTACATTAACATCATTTGTTTCTTTAGTATGCGTGCAAAACGTAGGTGGCACTTGTACTTTAGGACGGAGGGAATACCATTTTACGGCATCAAAATCATCATAATTTTTTAAAAATAAGTACCTTACCATTTAGATTTTGGAGCACATATTCCTCAAGTAATGGTCGGAGTGTTTCATGAAGTGCAGCCATGCCAAACCCAGTTTCAGCAGATACAGCAATAGGATCCCCAAATCCAAGTCTATATGCCTCACCTGCAGCAGCAGCAAGGGAACCATCACTATCAGCAAGTGCTTCAGCTTTATTCATAACCACAACAATCTTAATCCCAGACGCATGCTTCCTCAACCACTTTCCGACATCTAAATCCATTGGCTGCAATCCCTCTCTAGTAAAAAGATGTACAAAATGGTTTTGAATATATGATCTTAAAAGGAAAAAGAAGTACAAAAAAGAAGGCAGTGTTTTTCATCACATTCACACTCACAAAACCTGATGCTAGTATCCGAATTCCAGTGTTTTTCATTTTATTATTGGCCGCACAGATTTAAAATACTAAAAGTCTTATGTCATTACATTTACCTCTAGCTAATGTTTAATTTCACAGAATATTCATTTCTCCATGTTTAATTTCCAAATAGAGCCTCAGTGAGATAGGAAGCAATTCATATGCTAAGAAGTTCACAAGAGACTACCGTGCATCAATTAAGAATAGTGCAAACTGAGATCTTGCAAGGACATTCCCGGTCATTTCTGCAGTTCTTTGGAGAACTGAACCAGAAGAAGCCTCTGCCTCTAAGCCTGCAGAATCCAACACCATGAACCTCAAATCACCTAATTTGGCAACCCCATCTCTAATATCTCGTGTAACATGGTCAGCAGGTGTGTTGTACACAAGGGCTTCCCTCCTTCGTATCAACCTAATGCTCACAAACTAAGAGTCATGACAACCAAATCCAATCAAATGACACCATATATAGAAAATCACAGTGGTTCTAACCGATTAAACAGTGCTGATTTCCCAACATTAGGTCGGCCTACTATGACAACGGTTGGAAGTCTGTCAATTGCAATCTCAGTGAAATCAACTGATTGTGCTGCGGAAAATACAGCTTTATGCTCGCCAGCATCAAATTCTCGCGTCAACACAGTGCAAAACTTTCTCATATTGGGAAAAACAGCAGGATGTGGTAGAGTGACCAATTCACGGCATCTTGAACCCAAATTTGTTGTTCCAATATCTCTCTTTGTGAAATGAGAATTGGATGAACCTAGCCATAATCAACTAGAAATCAACTTTTAATTTAAGCCATGTATTTCCACGAGGAAAACAAACCATACGACCCAAACAAAGAATCGCATGAAAAGACAAAGTAATAAACTTTAGGAGTAAAAATGAAAGAAGATAATTAATTACCATATTTCGTTTCAGTAGAGCTACTGCTAGAAAACGGAAACGCCTTAGCTTCAGCTTGACAGAGTTTAGAATCAATGAAACCAAAATGGGTGTGCAAGGATGCTAATCTAGATAAAATCCCAATGCAATGCCGATTGGACTTACGGGCAGAAAGGGATCGAGCCCACGAGGGAGGCATATCCCGAGACAAATGCTAATTTGAACGATTTTATTTCTGGCCCTTCAATACCTAGAAAAACTTGCGTTTATTTTTGGATGAGGTCCGCACACAGCAGTTAAAGGAGGTTGATGGCTTTTGGTGACCGTTTTTTCCCTGCAGACGGGTGGATGGGGGCGACGAAGGATGGCTTGGCGCTGAGCTGTGATATACGGAGTATATCATAAAACAATTTGTCTCAGATACACAAGATGTTTTGGCAAAAAAAAAAGCACTTATTTACCAAACACTATTAACTTTTATTATCTCAGTTTTCGTGCAGAATCTACTTTTTACTTTTTCTATTACACAAAAACCACTTTTTCTATCAATTTTTACTACTATCCACTTTTTTCCCCCAAAAAGTGCTTTTATTTAAGTACAAGTGGTTGCAAACAAAACCGTACACACATTGTACATCATATAAAACCCAAAAAAATTACCATTCCATTTACCCTCCACCTTCTCTCCTCTCTTTCTTTCCCTCCCACTCCCCCTTCCCGTTACGTATTTTCGCATGCCAACGAGCTCACCATATGAGTACTATTCGCTGAAGCTTCTTGAGGAGGTAGTATAATAACACTTGAGGAATGGATTATAGTCTTGAGGAGATGGCCTTCATCAATAGTTACGACATGGACGATTTTATGGGAGCCAAAGTAGACGAATCCGGGTCTGAACCTCCGGTGACACAAAATAAAGTTGAGCCCTATACGAAAGACGTCGGCGACGGCGAGGAAAACCAGATTCTGGATGTTGATGATGAAGAAGGTACGTGGAACTTAATATCTGTGTATTGATTGTATTGATAATATGTTCTTGAACATGAGGACGACCTTGGAAAGGGTGGCCTTGAGCTCAGTCTCACTACAGGAAATGAAGGTGGAAGGTTGGCTTGTGACTGGTTTAACTCAGATGCTCCACACCTAATAAATAAATATGGTATTGTATGTAGAATTGAAGCTAAAATGTTGAGCACTCATGAAAAATCAAATGCCGTAAAGAAGCATCTAAAGCTGTGAATATTTCAATCTCTATTTAGGGTTAGTTTGCGCTTTTAAAAAAGCACTTCTCAGCTTTTGACTTTAAAAAAACACTTATTTTTCTCGGCTTCCGCGTCAAAAGTGATTTTACTTTTTATATTACACAAAAAGCACTTATTTTACCAAACACTACTCACTTTTACTTTTCAAAATCAACTTTTTCTCAAACACTATCAACTTTTATTTAATCACTTCTCCCCATTTCATTAAAAAAACACTTTTTTAAAAGCAGAAGCTGTTGCAAACAGACCCTTATTTGTATTTATCAAGTGAGGTTAAAGATAAAATGCATTTAGCTCCTTTTAAAACGGAACTAACACTGTGAATAACAATCTCTTTACAGAAAAATATAGAACAATGGTAAGAAATAAAGACCGAAAGGAGGCTCACGACTTTGCTCTGGACAAAACTAGGACCTGGATTAATTTGGACGAAAAACTGATTAAATGAAACTGAACGGACATAAACACCCTCTAATCTAACGAGACACATCGTCTCCCGGATCTCCCCCTTCGTTATCGCATCTGTAATTCGCTCCCTCCGCCTCCAAATCCAGATCCCTCGAATCTAGGTCGTTGCATCTCCTCCGAAGCCAGGTCATTGCATCCCATCCTTCTTCTGGTCACCGCCTCTGAGTCGTGGCCTCCGCCTCCAGATCCCTCAATTTCTGTCTGGCATATTACGATGGAGACGAACAGTCTTGGGTTAGAAGAAGACTGCGAATTCAAATCGGTGTGGCGGCTAGTTTTTTTCAAGGGCGGTGGTTTGCTGGGGCTGGGGAAGGATATAGCGGTGATATGCGGCGATTGCAGGGGCTAGGTGCCGGTGTAGGGGTTGGGTTGGGAAGGGGGCTGCCGGAGTGGCGGAACTCATCGCTGGGGAGGGGCGATGGTGTTCGGTAGTTGGGGGGCGAATATGGCGGTGAAATGAGGTGTTTGTAGGGGTTGGGGCTGGTATGTGGCAGCATTTGTGCAGGGAATGGGGGCTGGGAAGGTGACTGTCATGGTGGCGGCCCTGCCGGAGGATGTGCAGTGACGGCGGAGGGAAGCAGGCGGGCGACTGGCAGGCGGTTTTACCTTGTAGTGGTTGCTAGCACCGGTCAAATTTGGATCGGGAAACTATAAATGGGCGTACCAGTTAACTATAATGTTGAACTGGGTAACACTAATTGGCCGGGTAACTGTAACTGGTCGAATCATGTAACTGTAACTGGACGGATCAGATAACTATAACTGGACGGGTTAGGTAACTATAACTGGATAGGTCAGGTAACTGTAACTGGACGGGTCGAGTAACTATAACTGGATGATTGGGTAATTGTAAATGAACATGTCGGGTAACTGTAACTGAACGATTGAGTTAATGTAACTGGACTGGCGAATTGTTGGTCACTCGGGTTGACATGTAATTAGGTAGATTTTTTGGTCACTAATGATTTTGGTCACTGACGAATTTTTAAAATTTTCGGTCACAAATGATATTTGGTCACTGGTGGATTTTGGTCACTATAATGTTATTGGTCACTGTGTCGTTACTGTAGCACTCATGGGTGAGATTCTATTAATATAAGGGTATAATAGTCTCTTAATCCATTTTTAGTCTCATTTTTGGAAAATAGAAAAAGAGGTCTCTTTTTTGTCCACGACTCTTATTTTAGTATTGTTTTAGACATAACCCCTAATTTATATCAAGAAGGAAAAGGAATCAGGAAATCTCTTTTTAACTTCAATAGGGGGTGAATTCAAAAGTAGTTACAAATAAATGAGGAACTTGGATAACTCACGCGTTCGATGCACGGTGTAAGGATGCACGATTTGAGATATTTTCATCAATAGCTATTAATAATTTTTATTATAAAGCGTTATGAAGTGAGAAAGTTGTAAAATATGGAGTAAAATGAGACAACTCTCTTACTCTCTGTGTAAAATAAATCATGTGTGCAAATGAAAATTCAAATTAATCATGATTGATATCACCAACTCTTTCTAGATAACCAAAAAATTAAAACAACGTATCACTTTTTTAATCACAAAGTCACAATTAAAAAGTTGAGTTTGGAAGTTACTTTTCAATAAAAGCTACTTTATTTTTGCTCCTTCTATGTATATTATCCTTATCTACAATATACTTTTTTTTGTATTAGTTTGCTTAACTAAACGTTTTTAAATTTCTTAATTATACTCACTTCTAAACGGTAGATACTATAAAATCGTGCCTCAAGAGAATAAAACCTTTAAGTACTACTCCCTCCGTCCCCTTTTAAATGGGACGGGAGATGGTGGCACGAGTTTTTAAGAAAAGTGAGTTTGTGTGGTTGATATTAATTGATAAAGTAAGAATAAAGTAAGAATGATTTTGAACCACACAAAGTTTACCAAATAAGGTATGGAGCAATTAAATAGCGACATCCCAATATGGTAAAATGAGACATTTAAAAGGGGACGGAGGGAGTACATCTTAAGAACTTTGAGTATAAAATATACTCCATATATACTGTTTATACAAATTGCTTAATATAGAATTGGAACATATGGAGTATTCAAAGTACAAAAATAAGATTCAATATATCGTCTCTAAATGAAGTTCCCGATTTGACTTAAAGGCAAATTAATGTAAGGTGGATTTTTGTGAAGAATTTCCAATTAAATATGCCTTTACTTTATGCCAAATCAAGCAAAAAAGTGAAATTGAAGGGTAATTGTGTCTTTTGAGTTAAAAGTAGTTTTCTTTTGTAAAAATAGAAATTTATTGTTTTGACATCCATAAAAGAAAATCAAGAACTTTTTTTCAGGATGTAGGTAGTTTATTTTATTCTCCAAATAGTCTTATTCAATCCTATTTAATGATGATCCTATTTATAAATTTATAAATTTTATTATCATCAAGACACCCCTCCTATTCATCTCCACCTTTCACACCTCCTCTCTATCCCTCTATTGACCCCCCCCCCCCCTCATACCCATACACTCTTCTTCCCTACCATCAAGAAGTTGTGCGTCAACCTAATGTTCTCCCAACACATTTTAGAAGAACTGAGTTTTTCTTGATGATGTACCCCCTCCGTCCCGCTAAGATTGTCTCATACCAAATTTGGTAAAGATTGTGTGACTCTAAATCATTCTTATTTCATTCTTACTTTATCAATTTAATATCAAGAATACAAGCTCACTTTTCTTAATAATCATGCTACTTTCTCTCGTCCCAATCTTAGTGGGACGGGAGGTAGTATAAATTAAGAGATAGATCTACAAAATTGGCAGAGTTAAGGTCTTTTCAAATATAAATGTAATTAAAAGTTAATTAGGCTAACACGTCAAGTGTCACTTGATTAGGCTTTTGAGCTCTTTCTTTCTCTACGGATCATTTATTTTACCATTACGCACTATTAGTAATAAATTTTATTAAACTGAAGGTTTTCATTTTTAGAATTTTATGAAGTAGTCCGAAAACTACCCAAAAGATTATAGTAAAACTAAATAAACATAGTTATGATATTTTGGGGGCATACTCAAATACATTAGGGATGGCAATGGGGCGGGGGTATACTCCCCCATCCCCCGCCCCATGTCTAAAAAGTTCCCCCCATCCCCGCCCCATCCCCCACGGGTGCCCCCATTTAGATTTAATTTATTGTATTTGCATATATTATTAATCCATTATATGCATATACGGTTTCAAGAAGAACGATACTTATAACGTGAGAACGTGAAAACAGTCCCAATTAATGCAATATGATACACAATAGAGCCCCTCTAGTGCACGTTTGGACTTTGCTCAATACAAGCTCATATAAATATAATCACGGTGTGATGGTGGTACTGTTGTGCGTAGTAAATATTATGCTTAATATGAAAAAGTGCATCGTGTGAGCCTCATTGTGCATCACATTGGGGTAAATGTGGTGTTCTCAAGTTAAGCATTGGTTGCATTTGATCTTAAATCTAGACACACACACACACAATGCAAAGTCAAGTATTGTGTTTGTTAAAAGTTAATATATATCGCCAATTTTAATAATTCTTCAATTTGAATAAGTTCTGTAAATATTATCATCATGTACGTACGTCGTTCCAAATTTCTCAACAACTAGTATTCTATCCGTGCGATGCACGGGGAATAA